GGACCGACTGCATTAGCTTTAATCCATCACCGACAACCACATCAACATCATCACCATCACCGACACCATCATCATCGCGACCACAAGCTGGCCACAACCATCAGTATCGTCGCCACACCCAAGACCGTGATGAGCACCACCATCATGGCGATCATGACAATCCTCAGAAACACCAGGACTTCCACCATCGCGATCACCACCAGCACCTAGACCACCGTCGCCACCAGCATGAACACGACCCGACTGCCCACCAGCTCCACAATACCATCATCAGAATTGGCATCGTCATCGTCGCTAGTAGCATCAGCAACAATGAACCCTGGTCGACCACTGCCACCATCTTCGCCACCACATCATCATCATCATCATCATCATCTGCGCTGCGACAATACATGGGCCATCATTGCTACCACCACGTGGCTAACAACGACCACCACCATCATCATCAGCACGATTGTATCCACCAGTAGCCAGGTAAACAATTCTGCAACACCACCGTCTTCATAGTTTCAAGCGCCGTCACTAAGCCCACCGCCATGATCATCCCACAACACGGTCATGCTCGTTATCGCCACCACCATCGTGACAAACACCTAGGGCGTCGCCACCACCGCCATCTCCATTGTGAACATCGCCCCCCGCCACCTGGACCGCCTCCACCGCCGTCATCGTTGCCACGGCCGCCTCGCATTAAACCAACGATTGCAAGCTGGACCGTCAATACCACAACGCTGCCATCGCCGTCACAAACACTATCATATGGACCACCACTGCCACCACCACCATGGTGACTGTGGAACTGGTTGCGCCGGCAATGAAGCCAGTGAAGGGTATTTTGATGCAGGTGATCAAAGTGGTGTTAGCTTGTAGTGGTGAAGACTGTGATGGCAGAGATGGAAATCCAGGTGGTGGCCATGGTGAAGACTGCGACGGTGCTAATGGTGAGGATGGTCGCTGTCGTGGTAGACGTAATATACATGATGGTTGTGGTGTTCCAGAGGGCAGCGATGATTACGATTACCATCGTAGTGGTGACCCAGAGTGGATAATGATGGAGACCATGGTGGTCCAGGAGGTGGTGGTGATGCTGTTTGTGACGGCAGTGGCAACGTTGTGGTATTGGCAGGCCAGCTTGCAATCGTGATGGTCATGACGATGATGATGTTGGTGTGGTGCTGATTTAAGGCGATGCGGCCGTGGCAGCGATGAAGGTGGGAGAAGTGGCGAGGCGGAGGCCTCACTTTGCGAGCGCAGCTCCGATTTTGAAGTGGTTTCGCTGATTCACTGCGCGCCTTTTGCTACAAAGCGACATTTGGTAGATCATTGGGGGGGGCGAGCATATATATTATAATATATATATTATATATATATATATATATATATATATATTATATATATAATATATGAGAGAGAGAGAGAGAGAGAGACAAACAAAGAACTTCGTCGCCCAAGGGGAGGAGCACACACGATGGCAGCTACCTTCGCCCGACCTCGAGCGGGGATCAAACACCATGGCATCCCCGACGTGGGCGTCCCCCTGACGGGCATCCTCCTCTTCCGCGTCCACACCACCACGGGGCGGAGCGAGCGGGTCGGAGGAGGCCACCTCCACAGCCACAGGAATAGCACCGCAGACCGCCGCCAGGACACGGCCCCCAACCCTCGGAGCCTGATGCCCATTAGGACGGGCGACGGAAGCAAACAGGCGCGCACGGCAAGACGAGGAGGAGGAGGAGGAGGAGGAGGAGGAGGAGGAAGAGGAGGAGGAGGAGGAGGAGGAGGAGGAGGGGGAGGAGGAGCAGGGGGAGACTGAAGGCTGAATGCATGAAGTCTGGTCAAAGCCAGGTTGCGCCACACAAGGCGGGCCCGCGCTCCGGAAAGCCAGAAATTACGACAAACCGGGCCCACTGGGCCTGACCCGGGGCCCGACTGCGCACCACGGGCGGCACCACGCCTCACCCCCCGGAGCCCGCCCAGGCCACGGGGAAACGCCCCCAGCTTTCCAAGTCGAGTCCAACCGCGGCGATGCTGAAGCACCCGGCCGGAACCCAAAAAAAAACATTTTGGCGAAGGACCCAACCGTACGCAGTTGTGAATACCGCAATTATGAAGATCCTCTGCCCGCGCTCCCTATGGGGCCACGAACCGCGCGAAGGGCGCGCCGAAATGCGTGGCGGGCCACGCAGCGCGAGCGAAGACGATAGGTCTGCGCGCGAGAAACTGAGCGCGAGTGAGTCTGATTGGGAACGAGGTCTGCGCGCGAATCAGTCTACGCGCATGAACGTCGACGCCCATGTCAGCACGCCCCTCCCGAGGATCGCGCCTGCTTTCTTCCCGTTCTTGTCTCCCTATTTGCCCGCGCGCGCCCGCGTCCGAAGCCGCGGGCGCGGGGCCGCGCGGAGCCCCGGCGACGCACGCCCGTCGCCCAGAAAGGATCCTGGCGACGCGCACGAGTCGTCCGCCGCGCGGATCAGAGAGAGCTAGCTGGCTGGCCGATAGCGGGCAAGGCTGCGGCCGCTGGGCAGAGACGACGGGGGCGAACGAGGCTCCAGGCAGAGCGCAGCGCGGAACTCCCCCGACGCGCGCTGGTCGCTCCGAGAAGGCCCCAGCGACGCGCGCGGGTTGCCCGCGGCGCGAAGCCGCACAGTCAGACCGTCGAGAGACGGCGAGGCTCGGGCGGGTCGCTTTCCAAGTCAAGCCTCGCGGATAAACTCGGTGAAGCCCAGCTCCCTGGCGAAGGCCGTCGCCTCCCTCCTGCACCTCATCGTGCGCGTAGCAAACTGCTCCAGCTGCTTCAGCAATCCCTCCCGCGGCCCTGCCAGGAAAAACTCGATGCGCGGCGCCCGCATGAGCAGGAGGTCCTCGTGGCGTGGCGCGCGAGAGCAGCACGTAGAGCTCCAACCTCCAGTCGTCGTCCTCCATCTTGTCGTTCCCCACCTCGTGGCGGCCGCAATCCAAAATCACGCCTTGGCGACGTCGGCCGAGGGAGCAGCGCGCCGGACAAGCGACGGCCCAGGGCGAGAGTCCACGAGACCGAGAGGTCTCCAAAACGTGTGAGGGGCCACGAAACGTGTGAGGGGTGTGCCACAATGGGGCGGCACCGCCATGCGGGCTGCGCCACTGGGACCTTAGATGGAGCTCCCTATGGGGCCACAACACGTGTGAGGGATGTACCAAAATGGGGCGGCGCCGCCATGCCGGCTGCGCCAATGGGACCCCAGATGGGGTTCCCTATGGGGCCACGAAGCGTGCGAGGGGTGTGCTAAAATGGGGCGGCGCCGCCATGCCGGCTGCGCCACTGGACCCTTAGGTTGAGCCCCCCATGGGGCCACGAAGCGTGCGAAGGGTGTGCCAAAATGGGGCGGCGCCGCCATGCGGGCTGCGCCACTGGGACCCTAGATGGAGCTCCCTATGGGGCCACGAAACGTGTGAGGGGTGTACCAAAATGGGGCGGCGCCGCCATGCGGGCTGCGCCACTGGGACCTTAGGTTGATCTCTATGGGGCCACGAGACGTGTGCGGGGTGTACCAAACTGGGTGGCGCCGCCATGCCGGCTGCGCCAATGGGACCCAAGATGGGGTTCCCTATGGGGCCACGAAACGTGTGAGGGGTGTGCCGAAACAGAGACATGCGGAGAGCAAAGGCAAAGAGGGGCAGGAGGGAGGAGGAGGAGGAGGAGGGAGGAGAACGCGGGGCACCGTCTCTTCAAAACGAGGACCCAGCACCACAGGATGGTTGGGAATGACTGACTGACTGAATCGTCGGCGGCCCGCTCAGAACGGCAAACCGGCCCCTTGAAGAGGAGGATCCTACCGTTGGCCCATCAGCAGAACTCACCATCACTATGACCACCATCATCACCATCATCATCATAATCATCATCATCACCACCACCATCATCACCACAACAATAGCCATTACCGTCACTATCATTATCCTAATCATCCTAATAATCATCATCATCATCATCATCATCATCATCATCATCATCATCATCATCATCATCATCATCAGCATCAGCATCATCATCATCATCAGCAGCATCATCATCATCAGCAGCATCATCACCATCATCAGCATCATCATCATCATCATCATCATCACCATCATCACCATGACCATCACTATCACAATCACCAACATCATCATCATCATCATCATCATCAGCATTAGCATCATCATCATCATCAGCAGCAGCATCATCGTCATCATCCTCGTCATCATCATCCTCATCATCCTCACCATGACCTCTGATAATACTCATCATCATCACCATCACCATCATCATCGCCATCATCATCTGAATCATCGGCATCATCACCATCACCATCACTCTTGTCATCATCAACCGCATAATCCCCATCATGTACGTGATCAAAAGCTAGCAACATCGTACACATCATATTCATCATCACCATCGCCATCACCATCATCATCATCATCATCATCATCACCATCACCATCACCATCACCATCATCATCATCATCATCATCATCAGATTCGTCATCATCTTCATGTTCAGCTTCATCATCATCATCATCATCAGAAGCAGCGCCATCATCAGCGCCATGAATAATCATTAGTGTCATCATCCTCATCGTCATCATAATCATCATCGTCATCATCATCACAACCACCACCATCACCATCATCATCATCATCATCATCATCATCATCATCATGATCATCATCATCACCACCATCATCATCATCATCGCTATCATCATCGTAATCACCATGTTCATCATAATTACCACAACCACCACCACCACAACCATCATATCACAATTATCATCATGATCATCACCACCACCACCATAATCAACCTCATCATCATCACCATCATCACCATTACCATCACTATCACAATCACCAACATCATCATCATCATCATCATCATCATCATCATCATCATCATCATCATCATCATCATCATTATCATCATCGCCATCCCCATCGACATCGCCATCGCCATATGTCGTCGCCCCGGCGCACACACGTCCTGAAAATGCTGAAGAATATGCTCCCGCAGCTTCGGGGTGAGGTTCTCCACCAACCAGTCGTTGTCGTACGTCTCAAGCTGCACCGCCTCGGGTTATCCCTCAGCATCCAGCGTCGTGAAAGATTATCCCGGCAAAGCAACCTAACAGCGATGTGTAGGAGCATATCTGGAAGCATTCCCCTTAAGATTCAGATGAGAGTCCTGTTGTAGAGTTCTGCTGTTCTCGCAGTCGTAGTCGCATTCGCGATGGCAGTCGCAGTGGCAACGGCAGTCGCAGTCACAGCCTCAGCCTCAGCCTGCCTCAGCCTCAGCATCAGCCTGCCTTCAGCCTCGGCCTGCCTCAGCCTCAGCCTCAGCCTGCTTCAGCCTCAACATCAGTCTGCCTTTAGCCTCGCCCTCAGCCTCAGCCTGCCTCAGCCTCACCCTGCATCAGCCTCAGCCTCAGCCTCAGCCTGCCTCAGCCTCAGCCTCAGCCTGCCTCTGCCTCAGCCTCAGCCTGCTTCAGCCTCAGCCTCAGTCTGGCCTCGGCCTCAGCCTCGCCTGCCTCGCATCAGCCTCAGCCTCAGCCTCAGCCTGCCTCAGCATCAGCCTGCCTCAGCCTCAGCCTCAGCCTGCCTCAGCCTCAGCCTCAGCCGCTTCAGCCTCAGCCTCAGTCTGCCTTCAGCCTCGGCCTCAGCCTCAGCCTGCTCACCCTGAGCCTGCACCTCAGCCTCAGCCCCAGCCTGCCTCAGCCTCAGCCTGCCTCAGCCTCAGCCTCAGCTGCCTCAGCCTCAGCCTCAGCCTGCTTCAGCCTCAGCCTCAGCCTGCCTCAGCCTCGGCCTCAGCCACAACCTGCCTCAGCCTCAGCCTGCCATCAGCCTCAGCCTCAGCCTCAGCCTGCCTCAGCATCAGCCTGCCTCAGCCTCAGCCTCAGCCTGCCTCAGCCTCAGCCTCAGCCTGCTTCAGCCTCAGCATCAGTCTGCCTTCAGCCTCGCCTCAGCCTCCGCCTGCCTCGCCTCACCCTGCATGAGCCTCAGCCTCAGCCTCAGCCTGCCTGCATCAGCCTGCCTCAGCCTCAGCCTCAGCCTCAGCCTCATCAGCCTCAGCCTCAGTCTGCCTTCCTTCAGCTCAGCCCTCAGCTCGCCTCGGCCTCCCTGCCTCAGCCTCAGCCTGCAGCCTCGCCTCATCAGCCTCAGCTCAGCCAGCCTGCATCAGCCTGCCTCAGCCTCAGCCTCAGCCTGCCTGCCTCAGCCTCAGCCTGCTTCAGCCTCAGCCTCAGTCTGCCTTCAGCCTCGGCCTCAGCCTCAGCCTGCCTCAGCCTCAGCCTGCCTCAGCCTCAGCATCAGCCTGCCTCAGCATTCAAAATGTGGCCCGGGAATGATGTTCTGGGAACTCGAAGAACACGAAGTGGCCTACAGTTGGCTCGGGACATCCAAAATGTGGCCCGGGAGTGGAGTTCTGGGAACTCGAAGACCACGAAGTGGCCTACAGTTGGCTCCGGGCACCCAAAATGTGGCCCGGGAATGGAGTTCTGGAAACTCGAAGACCACGAAATGGCCTACAGTTGGCTCCGGGCATCCAAAATGTGGCCGGGAATGGAGTTCTGGGAACTCGAAGAACACGAAGTGGCCTACAGTTGGCTCGGGACATCCAACATGTACGCCGGGAATGGAGTTCTGGGAACTCGAAGACCACGAAGTGGCCTACAGTTGGCTCCGGGCATCCAAAATGTACGCCGGGAATGGAGTTCTAGCAGCGCCAAGAGCGATTTTGCGAGGATGTCCAAGGCGGTTTGGGCTTCGGCGGCAGCCGCCCCGCGTCCCGCCCGGACCCCCCTGTGGAGTCATCTGCTGCTCTCTTTTGACACCACTAGACACCTATCAGTCTTCGCTGTTAGGTAAAAACAAACGGGTAAATCAGCCACGTCCGAAGACTCAATCCAGCAAGGGAACCTACGCACTTAAGTGAGATCGGTCGGGCTTCTTGACGACGTTGTGTTTCCACGATATATGATCGCGCGGGCCATGCACAAGAAGAGGCGCCAGAGACGGTAGTTATACACGATCACCACCTCTGGCCAGGGTAGTTCATGGCCCTGGGATGGCGTAAACCACCTCCTAGCCTGAACCAGGAGGGTCGATGCACCATCCTAAGGCCCAGGAGTGCCCTGCCCAGGGTTGCTGGTGGGGTATCGCGACCTCAAGGCTAACTTTTACGACTAGGGTCGTGTCAGGGGAGCAGCAGCAGCGGCAGCACCACCACCACCAGCACGAGGAGCAGGAGGTGGATGAGCAGGTGAACAAGCAAGAGGGGGGAGGAGGGAGGAGGAGAGGATGAGACAGGGATGAGGAGAGGATGGAAGAGGAGGAGGGGGAGGAGGGGGAGGTGGAGGAGGTGGCGGAGGAGGACAACGACGAGGAAGAGGACGACGAGGAACAGGAGGACGAAGAGGAAGGGATGATTGACCTCTGTTTTAGCAAGGCTCGAACATACAACCACGGATCAGCTTCGCTCTAATTCGGGGAAACATGATCTGGGGAGAACCCAATTAAATTCGTTTTAGGGCTATAAGGCAATTGGGCTATAGGGCGAATGGGCTATGAGGTTATAGGGCTATGGAACAATAGGACTATAAGGCCATAGGGCTAGAGGGCTATAGGTCTATAGGGCTATGGGGCTATAGAGCCATAGGGTTGTAGGATTATAAAACTATGGAGTTGTGGGGCTCTGGGGCAATGGGGCTATATGGCCATAGGGCAATGAGCCTATAGCGCTAGGGGCTATAGGGTTGAAGGACCATAGGGCTATAGGGCTAATGGGATATAGGGCTATGGGGCTATAGAGCTAAAAGTTTCATAGGCATATAGCGCTATAGAGCTATAGGGTTGTAGGGCTACATAACCATAAGGCGATGAGGTTCTAGGGCAAAAGGGCTATAAGGATTTAGGGGTACAGGACTACAGGGCTATTGGGTTATGGGGTTACACGGCTATGGAGACTTAGGGCTATAGGGCTAATGGGCTATAGGGCTATTGAGATACAGGGCTACAGGGCTACTATAGGGATGAAGGGCTATTGGGCTATAGACCGAAAGGGTTCTAGGGCGATAAGGGTTATAAGGCTATAGGTTATAGGGCTATAAGGTTATAGGGCTATAAGGCTATAGGGCTATAGGGCGGTAGGGCGATAGGGCTATAGGGCTATTGGGTTATAGGGCGTTTGGGTTTTTGTTCTATAGGGCACCCGGGCGGGCCGCAGAAATCTGTGGAATCCGCAAGGACCCCTACAGGAGCAAACTCTGATTGGGAAATGTTATGCCAATTCGTGGGATTGCTCTTTTCTGTACAGATTCATTCCCGCGGGGCGCTAGAACGGGATCTGTCCGCAGACGTCTTCCCCGATATTGGTAGAAACGCTTATGCTATCTACCCTACTTGCACTGCTATACTACACGAATCATACCTATCACAACATGTGCTGGTTGACTGGAAAGGCTCTGACACGCAGTCTTCGCAGCCGAAGGAATCGAAGTCTGTATTACTGCAGAGGTTGCACCGCCGTCTGTGAAAAATGAATGATTGAGTGAAACACGCGATGCAGAAATCAATCTGCCGTCAGACGATGCATCAAGCAGCTAACTTCAGTCATCGGGGTGACAAAATTCGCACATGTGGAAGTGCCTCAGCGCGTCGAAATTCTTGATCGAGCGGCACTTGTAGCGTCCAGCACCCGGACAGAAGCGCAATCCAAAGCGCGAAACATGCTCGCGGGGCAGGCTTACAAGGACGCTGGAGAGCACGCCGCGGGAGCTTGCAAGCTTCAGAAAGGCGCTTCGCGAGAGCTCCCAAGGAGTTCCGAAGGAACTGCGGAAGGGCTTCCGGCGCGCATTTTGGGACCGAATAGGAAAACGCTCTCGGGGCCCACTGGGAGCTCATGCGTGGCGCTGCGGGCGCGCTCGCCCAGGAGCCTTGGAGGGGGGATGGCGTAGCCTTGCGTGCTGGCTTCTTCTCGAACAACCCTGTTAGCTCTCCAAGGAGCTATCCTGGAATGTGGTTTTCGTGTGCTATAATTTCTTGTACTCAGAAGTGATGTAGACGCACTTCTTGATGTCCTGCGCATTGAAACTCTGACTGCCCTCGTCACCCTCTGGTAGATCGACATTGGAGGGTCGATGTCATCCTGCTTGTCGGGCGTAGCATCTCTAGCGACGTGTGGTGACGGATCTTGGGTTGAGCTCAAAGGACCAGCCGTCTGCGGCCTCCCGCACCCACGAATGCCTGCCACGCACTTCGACATCTCCATGCACACGCCTGCCCGGAAAGTGAGCATGACAAGTGCGTAGAAGTTGTCGAAGCTGGTCGTAGCCACTGGCCTCATTCATGTTCGGTCGGCGCCCTTAGCGCCTGCCATGTTTGAAACAGAATCACTGGATCAAAAGCTTGCTTCCTCATATTGAACACGTCAGTGCTTCGCTCAAAAATATTGTTAACGTCCGCCCCACAAGGTCAAACTCGTTTTCGTTCTCGGCGTCGCTGCTCCTCTCTATCCAAGGGCGTGATGTTATGGGTGTCCAAGGCCTTCGTGCTGAACCACTCTTTGGACAATGGCGTGGCGACCTGGACGCACGTCTCCGTGCCCATCGCCTTCAGGATATTATTCACGTAACTCTTCGACGACGGTATCTCCAAAACGAATACCAGCAAAAACAACAACTAACAACAAACAAATCTGGCCCAAACTTGACACCGACTCTAAAATTCAAACGTTTCTGGGACTCGTCGAAGAAGGACGGCACCCGGTTCTCCAGGCCGATGCCCAGGAGATCGTCCACGAGGATTGCCACCTTGACGCTGGTCCACGCGTTGTACAGGATGACTGGGTTAGCCCGCGTTGCGCGGAACCCTAGCTCCTCCTTCAATATGCGCTGCAATTTCTCGCTGAATAAGTCGCTGGCCTTCTGAGGTCCATGTCCAGTGGCGGCCATATGTAAGAGAGATCGCGCCTGTGGAACTCTCCCAGGAGGGGTCCCCCTTACCTATCCCCCCCCCGCCTTGGACCTCCCCTGCCCGAAGCCCCCCATCCCTTTTTTCCTGCCCCTCGGAAGCTAC